TGAACAGTGAAACCATTTCATTATTACAATAAAACGGATCCATCTATCAATAATAGTGAAACCATTTCATAATTAGATCGAAACGGATCCATTTACCGGAAACTTGAAAATGACAAATGTTTCATCTAGCATTATGTTGATTTGTGTATTGATGAAACTGTGAAACCATTTCGTTCATGAAATGTAGTAGTAATTTATTATTATTATTATTATTCAAAAGGTTTCATTATGTTAAATTGATTATAGTGTGTTTTATTTTTATTGTCGATCTATTTTAATGATGGATTTTTTTTTTATAATATTTGAACATAAAATTAATATATTATTCTACAAATGATTTTGTTTTATTAATACAATATACATGATATGATTGTCATTAATATGACCACTTCCAAAGTTACCATTTTGCCATTTTTGGGATTATAAAATAAATTTTAATTTTTTAATTTTTTTTAATTTCCTAATATAACAACTAATCTTGTTCATTGATAAAAAAAATGGATGGATGAGATTGGTTTACATGGTTTACACAAATGAGAGCGGTTTTCATTTGATCGCTCCTCTCTATCTCTCTATACACACACATACACACACACACATACACACACACACACACACACACATATATATATATATATATATATATATATATATATATATATATATACAGGGGCACGTTCAAATGAAAACCGTGCATTTCTAAGATACCGTATAAACCAATTTCGACCAATAAGAAAAGTCCATTTTTTATAACTAAATTTAATCAATAAGGGTATAAATCTTAATTAAGGAAACGTAATAAAGAAAATTGTATAAATGGTAACATTTAAATAATTAATTATATTATAATATTACAAATTTGAATTTGATATATTGTTATGAGATTGAATCTGCAAACGGGTATTGAAGATTGAATTGCATTATGGAATGAAATCGTAAATTATGGTTCAAATTAAAAAAATAATGTTAATGAAACATGTTTCATGAAGGTGAAACTGGTTCATGTTGTAATTGATTCATGAGTAATATGAAATCGTTTCATGGTGAACCACGTTTCAGTAATGGTGTAGTTGATCCGTATAGTAGAAAAAATGGAACATGAAACGGGTGCATAATTTATTTTATTCGTCATGAAATAATTGCATGATGAAACGAATACATGATGAATCTACTTCGGGATCTTGAAGATTGTAATCTGCTCCAGAATCTTGAAGATTGTAAGGATTAAATGAAAAAATGCATCAAATCATGAGTGAAATAAAAAAATTAATTTACATGAAACAGGTTTGATGAAAGTGAAACTGGGTCATGACGTAATTGAACAATGAGTAGTGAACTGCTTTCATGGTGAAACCCGTTTCAGTGATGGTGTAGGTGATCCATTCAATAGATGAAATGAACATGAAACGGGTGCATAATGTAGGCGGTTCGTCATGAAATAATTGCAAGATGAAAAATAAATTAGTTTCATTAATAATAATAAATGTTAACGTA